GGCCTAGCTTTGTCTCTGCAAGGTATCCTGGTTTTGGACTGGCAGTTAGAATATGTTTCCCTGCTTTCTGAAAGGTCCATATTCTATCTGCGAGGGTCATCCCCAGGGTCATCGATGTTGAAAGGATTGGGGTATCCATTTAAATCGGAAATATTTGGATTCCATATTCTAACTGTCTGTCCTACATTGTAGTCGGTTTCTCTGTCACTGGTCCCACCCAAGACCAATGGTTTTGCAAACATCTGCAGTACCATGCTCCCAACAGACTAAATGAAGACCCAGCTCTGACATAATCCTTTTGTCTTGAGACAAACCTCTGGCAAATGAGAGTAATGAATGACTGCAAATGACTGCAGGGACTTGCCGAACTGCAGGGAACTGGAGGGACTTGATTCCCAAGGTCGGACGGTGGCCGAGTGATGTCACTGTGGCCGACGGAAAACGGACTCCCCTTTCTTTCGTTCGGGTCCGCTTGCGTGGGATGAAGACCCTCGGCCACAGGCATCGGGGGTTCGGGATGGCATTTGCACCTGATGAGGGCGCATGAGTGCACACAACAAAAGAGTGCAAAACAGTGCAAACAGTGCAAAACAACCAACAACAACTGGACCCCCAATATTTCCACAGGGAAGAAATGGATCGCCTGCCTCCCTCAGTTGCGGCCATGGCTGAATCCACCAATGCCTCTGGATCCAAGTTGCTTCAAATGGTCAGAGTCCTTGGCTTCGTACAAGAAGTTTTCGAGCTTGATGTCCCGATGTACAATGTCATGCGAGTGGATATAGTTCACCGCCAACAGCATCCTTGGCGTTGAACATGAACGAGAAGACACTGATGTTTGGGATTGCTGCAGAATTCGACACCAAGAAGCCTACCTGGTCTTGAAAAAACAGGACTTGACCAAGTGTCTGGTAGACCGCTCGCGATGCATCCTTCTCGGTAAACCGTTTCCTCTGAACGACGCGATCAAAAAGTTCGCCGCCTTGCATGCATTCCATGACGAGCGACAGCTGCTCCTCTGACTCATAGACCTCAAAAGCAACAAATAAACTCATAGACGCAGGTCATGCAGTCCGTCCATGCACCTTTAGCAGCTATGCTAAAAAAGCCTTCAAGCCTCCGTCTGCCCATGCCAACAAGAACACACACACACACACAATTTACGAACTTGAGCCAGGTACATCAGACAAAGCAGCTACATGTGGGTGGTCCATGGCCAAAAAAATCTCCGCTTCGCTCTCCAGCTCCTTGCGCTTCTCCTTGCTGACCCCCCGCAGCTTGAAGGCCTTCACGGCATACTTCTCCCCGGTATGCTTACAGCGAGCCAGTTTCACCTCGCCGTTGTAGCCAGTTCCCAAGACCTGCGAGAGGCTCTCATAATCATCCTCGATCCTGCGATAGTGCATCGGGATCGTCCGACTCGTGTCTTCCGTTCGAACTCGATCTGACCATATGAGATTGCATGGGTACAAAATTTCACCAATGGCACAGGAAGGTAGGTCAGATGTCAGATGTCCAAAAAGCATCAAACATCATTCATGGCTTGCGGCACATGTGCGTCCAACACCTTCCTTTACATCATTGGGCAACTTCCAATCCTTCCTGTGGTTGAAATGGTTTATTTGGATCCATGCAGTACAACGACCACCCACAGAAATTTGGTACACAAAGTACATGTCTTGTTGTGTTTGAATAGTGATACCCCCTCTGCCAAGAAAACCCTATATAGGTCTCCCCACCCATTTGGCGATGAATGGCTATCACATCTATGGCTCCAGGTAAGGCTACCATCCAACTGCCCCCCGGCAAACAGATTGCAAATATATGCAAATCAAATCGTACAAAACACCAACCCAGACTCTCTTTGACCCCCCCTTCTTTTTGATGTTCCAAGGGGGGCACTTCCTGGGCGTACTTTCTTTCCCTTTGTCCATCTCCAAGCGTCCGCTTCGGGAGTCGATGGTATCGACCGGTGATGTTCAGCCGGCCGCTCCGCTCGGCCGCCCTTGAGGTGACGAGCGTCAAGCCATCCGGTCCGTCGTCCTCCTGGAGCAGTCGGGGTGCCGCGGACGAAGACCACGGTCTGCTTTTTGGGCGGACCCAACGGGACCAAAGATCTGGATGGAGACCTTCTAGCAAACCAATTTACATATTTTTCAGGCTTGATCTTCAGAGAATCTCTTGGTTGTTATCAACTTGCAGAGTCCTATGATCAAGTTTCAAACAAGAAACCATGTGTCTCTCGAACATCATGCGGAGACCATAAGAAGGACAGAACTGAAGAGAGCACCCGTTCTGGGAACCTCCCTCTGATGCCATCTCCTTAGCAACACAGCCCGTAATTTGCATTGATGTCATCATATTTCCTCTATCATGACTGGGTCTCTCCCGTTGTGTCGCCGCCCCAAACACACTCGTACTCCGCAGCGGACTCGTTACTCCCCCGTCCTTGTCCACCCGACTTCGAGTTTTACGGCTGTCAAGGTGCAACGCCGACTTGATCTGGGCTTGGCCCATGGCGAACGGCCGACTTGTGAAGATCGAATTGGCTTTTTCGCTGGGGTGGGTTTGTTTAGCTTCGAGGTCTGTTACACGTTATGTTGCGCGTGTGTTTTTTCTGAATCTCATCTCTTTTTTGGAATTGGGAATCCTGGCTGTTTCAAAAGTCACATGCACGGGCCATCCCGGAGAAGTCATGTAACGCTGCGGTCACGCACATCAAATCAAGATATCCAGGATCCGCATGATGATCAGCAATCAGCATCCTCATGCATCCTCCAGTTCTGCATCCCAGCATCGCGAAGTGGTTTCATGACACCCTGCGGGTCCTGCGGTGGGTCCTGGCCCCTCCGATTGGACCGCCGTCATCCAAAGCGCCATGAAGTCTCTCGACTCCAAGGAGGTCAACAGCAGGAGGAAATCAGTCGAGGTTAAGCAGGTGAGCACTGAAAACACGTGTGCTATACATTCTTAGAGATTCTTCAAAATTATGTTTAACATGTTTAAGACCAACCCCCAGCAGGTCCCAGCAGGTCGCATGGAGCCGCGGCCGGTCCTGCTCTTCTCGTTCGCGCTTCAGCCTCCGGAGCTCCCTCTTGGCGCAGCGGCAGCGATAGAGGCCCTGTCGTGGCGACACGTTCCGCCGAAGTCGACGTCGAGAGGGGCCTGGGAGCATGGTCTAGACCGAGACCGTAACCTGATGCCGAGTAGTTGCAGACGATGTCAGCGTCCCATCAACATCCCGCACAACCGCATGGCTAGAGCAAATCCATCAAACAACAAACAAACCAACAGCCAGGACATACCAGGAGCGTCCAAAGGGTTATGCAATGGAAACCCGCAAGTAGTGTAGGGCTATAACTGGGGACGCTTGGATGATCAAGATAATCCGTTTGTAACGCACTGCCGCGGTGTTGCACTCAGGGACAGGGGTGCCAAGTGGAATGAAGGTGCTAAGGGCTGTGATGCAGTGTTCTTGGCAACAAAACGATGTGGTGATGCTGGGATGATTAATCAGTTACAGTAACGACAAAGATAAGATGTTCTGATAGCAAACCAAATGATCGCACAACAAATGTTTAGCCAAATCCTCCATAGATGGAATATATGCGTCATACACCCATGAAGCCGCCCCAAGGTGTAGGTTAACATGCCATACATGAAGTGTCTGGGTCAGTTGCATTCTTAATTGACATGGTGTCAACCGCCCTCACCCCCGCCTCTACGGGGCACGTAGGACCATATGTTTGAAGACATTCCTGATGATGTCAACAAAAGTGATGTGTAACTCCCACCATAGTCTTTCAATCACAATGCCAACATGTTGAACAGGATGACAATGTTAGGATTTTAACGACCATGTTACCATGTTAGTTGCGCATTGAGAAGAGACTTATCTCTCAACAAAGGTGATCATGAATTCTCAACTTGGAGGGACAGATCTCATGTGGGGTGATTCTTTCTGCAACGGGTCCCAGGAATGTCCCAAAACTTGATGCTTTCTGCCGAACACATGGGGTCACTGAGTGCACCAACGATCAACACCTTCCCTGCCTGGATGAGCCTCGCTGCCCGGTGCTGTTGCAAGCGCTCGGCGTCGTGCAACTTCCGAGACAAGAGAAGGGCCTTTCCAGGTCACGCGGAGCCGCGCCGCGCGACGCGCGTCAATCCCGTCCAGCGCGTCCAAATGCGTCCACCCGAAGCGCGTCCGCAGCGTCCTGAAGCGGTGCGCATTTTGGGGGGATGAAGAAGTGGTGAAAGGCTGCCCATTTTGGTCAAGGTGATTTTCTCGCCTTGGGTCCTGGTTCTTGATCACCGGACGCGGTCAGAAGTAGTTTGTAGAAGGCTTGGCTGGAAGATGCCCGCCGCCCTTCAAAGCTATCATCTTCAAGGACACCCAAACCCCGGTACTTCACCTGAAAAAAGCACGACCATCCCATTTTGGGTTCAGCCCCACCTCCCATGTCATGGAATGTCAGGTAAAACAATGAGGAACAAAAAACACCACAAACAACGATGCCCGTGCGGCTCGGCTCGTGAGCAGAGAAAGGCCCATGCGACGCGTGAGGGGCGTGAAGCGGCCTCGTGCTTCTTCCGCTCTTTCAATCGAAGGCTTTCCCATCGCTTCCGCTCCCTCAGTCCAGGTGCGATTGGCCCAGTCTGGTGTGGCCCGATGAAAGGACTGCATCTTCGGGTCTGAAGAGGGATCAAAAGGGCTTATTCAGTACCCGAAGACGATGGGATAGGGCCACCTGGAAGAGAACATCATGCTCACGGAGGATCATTTGCAGGTCAAGGGCCATTATACATGAATCGATAATTGAGTCTTTGTCAAAATGGGATCAGCATATTCAAATCATTCTGGTACTCAGTACTCACTTTTGCATACTTTTGCGGCATAGATCTCCCTGGCCCTCCCACCAACAGATTTGGTTTGTGCAACATTTAGGTGTCAATCATTGACCTACAAGATTCCTACAAGTGCTAATCATTGATTTTTATTCCCTCCATTCAATCGAATCTGACAAACGTGGTTTCCTATTCCAGCAAAGGCCAAGTTGAACCCTCCTTTCCACATCCCCTCACCTCGCGAGTTGGAGTAAGAAGTAAACTTGTCTTCCAAATCCGCTTGTTGGGTGCGTGGCAGTTGGTCTGGGGGACAGGGCATGCATCTGACTGATTGACTTGGGGAATATATAGGTGTCCAGGTTCTGTGCTTCTCCACCACACACACACCCGCTTCAGAATCCGAACAAACTACTGATGTCGACAGGATTCACTGCTTCGCCATACCCGATCCTTTATGAATACTGTTGGGAGTGGGGGTAAACCAATGGTTTCCAGCAGCGAAGTTGCTCTGTATTGGTAACACCTGAAACATCTTGAAACCCTGGTGAGTCCAGCGAGCAAACAGTTCCTAGTAATTAGACGTGTCTGATCATAGATCTGAACCATCGTGAAATCGTAAGGGTTCCAGGTCAGTGACCCAAAGCCATCCCCAAACAATCCCATTATTCACCTAAACTGGGTCCATGGCGATATATATATATATATATTATATACTGTATACAGTATATATAATATATACCATGCTTGAAAAAGGGTATGTTCAATCAAAGACCCCATGCTCTTTGGATGCTGGTCGACTAATCCCTCTTTTCTTTGGGAGGGTTCCCCATATTAACATACACCCACACATATATAATATATATCATGTATTACATAATATAGGAATATTTACAGATAAAACACTTGTATATCCTTGGATCACCTTGGCATCGGTACAAACACGAGGCCACGTTCCTCTTCGATTCTCCAAGCCACATCTCCTTGAGCTCCGCCAGCACCCTGCGTGCCTGACGCCCGCGCCAGCGGGCCTGAAGCCTGAGAAGGTGGAAAAACGCACGTCGACGTGATGGAAGGGGTGACGTGCGGCATCAAAGAATCTTCACTATCACTACTTCTTTCCGTTTTTTTCTGATTTTGCATCAAAAGTAGACTCGAATTGCTCCAGGTCCAATTGCTCCAGACCCGTCGGTTCGTTTCATCCGTGCGTATCATTCCATCCCGCCCATCCGTCGTTGAACAACGACGCCCTTCCCGCTCCACACCGAGGTGCTTCACCACATAGCGACCAAAGCGACGGTCTTCCTGCTCCTGGAGCATCTTGCGAATGGCCTAGGAAAACACGCACAGGATTTCAGGAACAGTGATTTTGGTATAATATATAGAATATATATGAATATATGTGACATTTATATAGATCTTTCTTTACAAGTGTGTGTCTCAATTGAGGCTTCGGATTGACTGGGTGGTGAAGCTTCCTATAGGGGTCCACTTTATTGAGGCATCCGATGCAGGACAGAAGATCCATGATTCTTTGAAGGGACTGCACATGAGAATGGCTTCACAGTGCTTGACACATTTGATCATATTTGCCATTCAACACTTGATTGTTGAGATGTACAAGAATGAGAAACATCCTTTCTCACGGTTGACATGTCAACACTCCAGAAATCAACCCTGATTGCTGAGCCGCTTCCCTGAAAGAAACATGGTCAACCTTATTTTCCAGCTGTTCGTTTTCAGCGGGGAAACCAGTCCCCCCAAAAGCCTTGGGGAGGAACGGAATGGAGTACCGAGGCCACCTACCATGAAGGTCATACGTACATGAAGTACACTCCAGTTCATCTTTCTCGTCACTCCGGTTGCGCCCGGTGCCCCTGGTTGGATGGAGTCCGTTTGCGGTGCTCCGCACGCCCACGCAGCTCGACTCGTGTTGACGTCGAGGGACACCGACGCTGGGCTGAGAAAGCGCCTCAGGTCGGGAGGAGTTCTCACCCATGGGGTCATGCCATCTATGGGGTCATTCGCGTTCTCGGCGTTCTCGAAGTGAGTGCCATCGACGCGAGACTGGTGGCAATGGAAAATCAAGTGCACAAAGGGTGAACAAAGACATTGAAGCGGGTAGAGAGAGTTACACTCCAATAGATGTTACAAGCGAGCTACACTTTGAAGTGAAGTGAGTTACACTCTCAAGTGTAACTCTCAATAGGTATCAATAGGTGTCACTTCACTTGAGAGTTACAATCCAAAATCATTGTGCCAAGAGACTGTCACCCTCTTCTGTGCCTCCGTCTGCTTCCTGCGAAGTGCTCGGAAATTGGTGCACGTTGCAGGAGAAAGCCTTTAGTCAATTTGCGCCAAGGGGTACCTTTCCCAGTACCGTTTGTACATGCTTCACCATTATTGAAACCTCGCATCAGTTCAAAGCCAAGCACATTGATGTGATTGAGCACTTCACTTGAACACATGTGTCTCAACGGAACCATAACATACCATAACCCCAAAGCCCTTTTTGCCCGACTTGGGTTACAAGAAAACTCTAGACCATCTACGAAGTAGCATTGAACCACACAACCAGTAAGCTACCAGTACCAGTCATGCTCTTGTGGCCACCTCACCGGCGCAACGTCGACGTATGCCACTTCCAAGAACTCAAAGAATGAGTAACCAGTCGTGCTCTGGCAGCAGTGCTAAGAAAAGCTTGGACATT